AAATATCCTCTTGACATCCTTTATGTTATCTCCTTTTTCATTAATCCCTATCATTCTTATTTTATTTTTCTTTGCATCATCTTGCAGTTGTTGAATTGTTGTTTCCTGATTCCTTGCTATTTTTAAAAGATCTTTCCTTTCCTGTTCACTAGCTGGAATCCTGTCTTCAAGGTCTGAAATTCTATCTTCCCTTTCATTAAGGTGGTTTTTACAACTTTCAGTGGAGTTTTTTATTTCCTGTGTATATCTCTGTGCATCTGCATTATGTATTCTGTTTGTTTCTTATATTGCTCATCTAGGGATTCTTTTTGTTTAGTTGATCCAATTTTTTTAATCTGTGTTTTCTTTAGATATATTCAGAATCTCTTTCATTTCTTTTATCATTTCTTCTTTTACCTGGGAGATTATTTCGAGTTTGAATTTCTTTAAAGCTTCCTGAAGTTGCCTGTTAATTTCAGTAGCTATTGTGTCCAATATTTGAGGTGAATGGCATATATTTTCTTCTATATACATTGCTCCTAGGGTTTCTTGAGATGGGCTGGAGGTTTGAGGTTGTAATTTGGTCTTTCGTTTTGTCTTTTTCCTATATTTCTGTATTTCAAGTGGTATTTGAAAGCTTCCTCAGGGTGTTTTGGAAATCCCCTTCTATGTTTGCAGCTCCTGAGACTCTGGCACCCCGTTACCCCAAGCCACTGGGCCTGCAGAACCAATGGCCCTCCTCTGCCTGTTCAGAACTCTGCAGTTCCAGATAAGCTCGGCCTCAGGGACACTGTGTGCCCACCTGCCTGTTGGAAGCTCCACAGCTCTCCAAGTGTAGCCGGGATGGGGAGGCGGACGTAGACGCCTCAAACCCACCTCTCCACTTCACTGCACCCGGAAGCCTGGAGGGACCCGAACAGTCTGGGCTTTGGGCAGAGTGCGTTGAGCACTCACCACAGGCTGCAGGGTCTCTGGAACCTGCGATGCTCCACTGCCCGCTGAGACATCCACAGTCCTCCAGACACATGGGGAGGCTGATGCAGGGGCCCCAGATCCGCCCAGCCCCTCCTCTGCACACCGATGGCAAGGTACGGGAGTCCCAAACAGGCTGGGCTCCAGTGATAGTGTGGGCCCGCCCACCCATTCGAAGCTCCACTGTTCTCCAAGCGCAGCCGGGATGTGGAGGCGGATGTAGAGGCCTCAAACCCACCTCTCCACTTCACTGCACCCGGAAGCCTGGAGGGTCCCAAACATTCTGGGCTTTGGGCAGAGTGCACTGAGCACTCACCACAGGCCGCGGTGCCTCTGGAACCTGTGATCCTCCCCTGCTTGCTGAGATATCCACAGTCCTCCAGACACATGGGGAGGCTGTGCAGGCACCCCAGATCCACCTAGCACACCAATGGCCAAAACATTTTCTCAATTGTCTAAAAAGTATGATCTTGAGTTTTGTTGCTATCCTTCATTATTAGTAGTATTACTTCTAAAGTAACATTATAGCCACTAACAGCTACTAAAAAGATCATTTCTGTATCCTAAGCACAAATCACAAAAATTTTCTGAAAGCAGACCCAATTTTAATTTAGTATGTACAAAAATGTCTGACTTTTTAAAAAAGCACGTCATTCTTTGCTCTTTTGGGGGGGTACAAGGGATCGAATTCACAACCTTGCATTTGCTAAGCAGATGCTTACACCACTGAGCTAAATCCCCAGCTCCTTTTTTTTGGAGTTCTTGAGTGTGAGTTGTTACAAAGTTTACAAATGCCCCCTTATCTAAGTTGATGACACTTCTATGAACAATAACACCGATGATAATATTCCATTAGGCAGTCAGCATGCAATTTTGAAAGAAAACATATTCACTGATGACACTAAAGCATGGTAAAGTCAGACTGTTCATAGACAATGAGTGATCATAACCTGTAAGTTTCCACTTCACTATTTGTATTAAGCAAATACTCACATTCAAGTATCTACGCACCTCTTTGCTAGATAATGTGCTAGTCATCTGAGATAAGAGAAGAAAAACATTATTGTTCTTTGAAGACTTCATATTTGGTATCAATTAGAAAGCTGTTTTCAATAATATACTCATAGTTTTTTGAAAGTTTTTAAATTCTGTGATTCTACATTATTATCCAGCACATAAGTGAAACAGCTTAATCCACTATTGTTAATTAAAACATTTGTATTCTCAAAGTTGTTAACATTTGCAATCACTTCTAAAAGGAAATAGGTAGAAGTGAAACTTACCCAATTTTCTACTTGTTGTATGAGAAAATGGTGGCTGTAATTAATATTGATGATTAGGTAAAAGGAATTCTTTGGATCCCCATTACTCATAATGTCTTTGCCCTTTATTTCTACAGATGTCAAGAGATAGCTGGAGTAAATGGGTATGGCAAAATATTTTGTGGGCAGATAGATAACCTCAGCTGGCTTTCAAAGCTTCAGTAGGAAATAAACAACATAAAAATTTTATTATAGGAAATCAAAATCAACTCTAAGAACAATTTAAGTACAAATGTCCAATTACTAACATAATGAAGTGATTTCATAAAACATCTCTATTTGCTAGAGACAGGCAATACAGCAATAGAAAAAAATATTTGGCTACAGAAATATTGAAGCCAGACTTCTCTAAAATAGTAATTCTTCTTCCTTTTAGATGTCAAGTCCCTTTCCCAAAGTATTCAAAGGATGGAAAGCGCCTTCAAGATGGACTGAAGAGATATTATAAGCTAAAAAGAAAAATTGGCAAACTACAGCCAAAGATCTAATCCAAAACCAGCCAACTGTTTTTCCTTTAGATTACATATTTTCTATGGATGCTTTCACATTACAGCAGCACAGCTGAATAGTTGTAACGAACTGTATGGATTAAAAGGCTGACAATATTTACTAATAGTCCTGTTACAGAAAAGATTGCTAACACCTATCTTAAACCAAACTGTCATATTGTACAGATTTTAATTTTTCAAACTAAATATTTCACAGGACAAACACATCTATTTCCTTCTAACTCCTCTAATAAAAATGCAATGTTCCACTACATCCTTTTATGATTTCCATATTAAGGAATATCTCACATATCCATTTTTAATTTTAAAAAATTTAATATACATTTTAAATGTCATAAAGAGTACCAAAAGTTAAGCATCTAAGCTTGTTTTTCTTAAAACTTACCTCCTCACACTATCAGTCAATATTTAAATTTTTTAAAAAAGACAAAAAACTACAGAGGGCTAGGTAAACCTACACTGCTCTCAATAACAAAAAGGGTAGTATATTTAATAACATCCACAGTGTATAAAATGTAGGAAAACTTTCATTATAAAGGAAAAGCAGCTATAATAAAAGACGCATATATCCTACAACAATAACAAATTATTCTAAATTTAGTAAAACGTCACAACAGGCTGTCTCCCTAAGGAAATTCATCTCCTACCTTTAATGTATGCTACAATGCTTAGCACCAGTGTATTGACAGAAAAAAAGAGAACTCTGCTGTTCTCCATTTTTCATTTGTTCTGTCTCCTTTGGCATTAAAAGTTTGCCAATGTGAAAACTATGTCATATATGAGGCAATTAAGTACAAACTGAGTAAAGCTGTGTGCTAGGGAAACACTAAAATTAGCAACTTCTAACATAGACATACAATGTAATAACAGTTATCTAATAAGAGATTAATATTAGTGTCTTCAAGCATAAAGAGTGTTCTTTTAATATTCAAATTTTTTCTGAAAAAGAGTTCATGAGGAACAGTATAGTTAAAAACTAGCAAGTCAAAAGACAAAGTAGCTTTGTAGCTTTGTCTAGGCTACAAATAAATAGTTATACTAGATAACAAATAATAAAAAGATTTGTAGCTTTGTCTAGGCTACAAATAAATAGTTATACTAGATAACATCTCAAAATTTCTCAAAAATTATAAAATTTTATGATTTCATGAAAATTTAAAAACCACCTTAAAATCATACTTAAAAATTTATTATGGCACTCTAAAAATGTCATTTAGAGAAATGATACCTAAAATAAATTCCTGTATGTTGTGTAGTGACATTAATTCACTTTTATCTGAAATCTAGGTATGCTGTAAAAGTGACTCCTTATTTCCTAATCACTACTTTTAAAACTCAAGACTTCTTTCAGAAAGCTTCTGAGTCTGGAATATTCATTTTCACTGAAAGCTGGCTTAAAATCTCTTATTTTTTCTTTCAACAATTCCAAGTAAAAGCCAATTCTGCACTATTAAGTACAAAAACAGCCATACGTAAGAAATCAGTAATTAATAGCAGATTAGGTAGTACCTCTTAGAGGATAACAGTCAATTAGTCAGTTTTAAACTTCCCTTTTTTCAGTAATCATCTTTCTATATTCTAGTCACAAAACAATTATCAACATATTTTATATAAAACAGATCAATTTTTTCTAAAAAATAATATTCTTTTATTTGAAATTTAAACTTTTCTTTTTTATACTATAAATTAGTAAAGTCAGGATATGCCTCAGAACTGGTGATTTCTTTGTCCCTGCCCTTTCCTGCCCTTTTCTGTAAGAGGCATGATCCCTCTAGGTTGGTCAGACTGGCCCCAAACTCTTAGGCTCAAGTGATCTTCCTAACACAGTGTTCCAAGAAGCTGGAACTCTTAGAACACCACACCACAGCTGCTTTCATTTTGTATGAAGTAATCACTTTTCTTAAGTAAGGATATATAAAATAATGCTGTCTCACAACTGATTTTATCTTAGAATAATGAAATACAGTGGTACTCGGTTCAGAAACTTACTTCATTCCATGATTATGGTTGCAAATGGAACTGTTCATGAATTAAATGAAACTTCCCCACAAGACTCAATCTAAAAAGGTCAATCTGCTTTGACCCTTTACAAATGTGGTTGAGAACCAATTTTTCCTACAAGGTTCAATGTAAATAAGATTAATCTATTCTGAATCATATTTTTTTTAATCACAAATATATAAAAGTTCAGTGCAATATGAAGAAAGGAAACACTAACCTTGCTTGACCTGGAGGACAGGAGGTGGTGGAAGAACATTATTATTTGCAGGGACAATTCCCCTGCAAACAGTAAGTGACATCTTCAGGCATTTCATCTCTTCTTTGTTCTGCAGGGTCAATTTTGAGAAAAAGTCTCTTGTTTTTTGCTACACTGAATAGCCCTCTGTTTTTACAGTTATATTATGGTGGTGTTTCTCAAAGAAATTTGACACTATTCCACTTTTCCATAATGAGTTTTATCACAGCATTGCTAACCTCCTTTGCTTCCTCTCCCACAGTGGAATGTTCCTCAACAAGCACTGTCTACTGCTCACTTGGAGTTCAGCAAGTTTTTCTGTCCTCAGCTCCTCATGTTCCTCAAGAAGCTCCCCCATGGAAGCATCATCTATGCTCAGACTATACTCCAGCCCGTGGACACAACCTCCTCCACTCTCTGTGCATCAGACCTTTCAATGTCACATTGAGTGACACATTATGGTCATAGTTTCTTCCAAGTTGAGTTTCAGGTTTGGTACACGAATCTTCCTAGGCTTTCTGAATGAGGTTGATGCAGTGGAGGACACTGAACTGTTTCTTTCAGAACTCTTTCAAAGTCAATGATGTCTCTTCAGTAAAATTAAAACATCTCGTGAAGAATGTCATGCCTTCTTCCAATTTCTTTCTTTCTTAGAGACAAGGTTTTGCTATGTGGTTCAGTCTGGTCTTGATTTGAACTTACTATGTACTCCAGGCTGGCTTCAAACAAGCAGTGATTCTCCTGCCTTAGTCTTTCAAGTACTGGGATCACAGGTGTACACCACCATGCCTGGCCCTATGTATAACTTCTTGAAGTTGCAGATCACTTGCAGGTTCACGGGCTGCAGAAGAGGTGTCCTGCTGAGCAGCAAGAATTTAACCTTTATGAAGTCATACTCAGCATCCATATCATCCACCAAGGCTGGAAGGTTTTGCAAGGCACTGTCCCTCAGAAGGCAATTTTCAGGCAGCTGGTTGTCAGAAAGATAGTTCTTAGTGGTGGGCATGACCACCTGGTACAGACATTACATCAACAACTGCCTTGTGACCCAAGATTTCACACTGAACCTCCCCATGACAGGAAGTCTGGCCTTGTTCACATTCTGTTCCTTGAATGCATGAGGGTTCTGGGAATGGTCCACTTGTAGTGGTTTAATCTTCAGATGGGCACTTACGTTTGCATACAGCAAAAGGGTCAATCTGTCCTTCATGGACTTGTGTTCTGGTAGTGCCTTTTCCTCCTGCAAGATATAGGTTCTGTTCAGCATCTTCCAGATGAGCTCTGTTTCATAGCGGCTGAACACCTGTTGAGCAGCACATCTGTTAGCCTTCATGAATTCTGCCAATTCTTTCTGGTAGGCTTCTGTAGTGGCCCTGTCAGAACTGGAATCCTCATCAAGTCTTATCACACAGTGGACACCATTTCTCTTGCAGAATTTATCAAATCACCCTCTACTGACTTTAAATTCATCACTTATTGCATTTGTACAAGAGTTTTCTTGCAGTGAATCACTGTGCAATTTCCTGGCTTTTTTTCACATATCACAGCATCATTAACATTATCATCTGCCAGCTGTTTCTCATTCAACCACACTAACAAGTTTCTCTATCTCTTCCAGCACTTGTGTCCTCTGTGTGGTTAACATCATTACTCCTTTTCCACATTATCTCCTCTGATGGCATTTTTACTCTTCAAAACAGTTAATGTTTCAAATTTACCATCTCGTAATCTGAAGCAGAGATGATTCACATGAGTATCATGCCTATGCTTTTCTACAATTTCCTTCTTCAGTACAATGGTTATTTTTTTTTTCAAAACTTTCTTCTTACTAGTCTTGCACTGCACTTTCTTGTTATCATTATTGTTCTACATATTCTGGTTACCATTATTACTGTTCTCCATGTTCTTGTCATGTGTTATGTGTCTTGGTCCTAAATGCTCTGTATTTCTTTTACCATCATGTTTGCTGCTGTGCATTTTCTTTGGAGCCATGCTAGACTGAATAATACTGTACAGTATTGTATGTGGTAAAAAAGCACATGGGAAAATTTCAGAGCAAGTGTGCACAGGCCTGTGATCACATCGACTATAGAAAGCCATGCATCACAGCACAGAAGATAGCTGTGTTTATGTTTGTCACCAATGCCAAATTCAAAAATGGAAGCAAAATTTGGCCACTTTTGTTCATGAATCAAACTGTTCATGAACAGAAGTGTTTGTGAACCAAGGTTTTATTGTATCACAATGCGTGTTACCTATAGAATACTTTTTTCTAATTCCTAAATGCTCAGTTTTCCCTGCAACAATATAAGGTTTGTTGATATATGATTGATTCTTCTATTTATACACATATGGAAATTACTACTGTAAGAATATCTTGCAGAAATTACTATAGGAATAAACACTGAAGTTTTCTAAGCAGTACTAAATGCCAGGTACTATGTCAAACACTTTGTATGTATTTAATCCCAACAATCTATAATTTTTTTTTCTTTTACTATTTCTATTGTATGAATGAAATAAAAGCAAGTCTTACAGGGGTTTAGAAACTTGTCTACATTCTAATCATTATTATATCCAACACAAAGCCTGGTACAGGAGCACGCAATAAATATTTACTAAAAGATTACAAATTCAACCACAGCCTGAACAAGTTTGTGATTTGGAACCCATCTCAAAAACAGTAAGTAAATAAAATGCTGAGAATGTAACTGAGTGTGAAGACATGAAGGTCCTGGGCTTAATCTGCAATACCACAATCAACGAATGAATCAGTCAATATTTACTGAATGAGTAAATGCTTTCAAAGAAGTCTCAACAATTGACCAGTTAAGCAGACCATGTCATTCCTAGTGTACACATAAAATGCATAACAAATAGAAACCTGAAAGTTTATTTCTTATATCTGGAACTCTAGTCTATGTGGTATAGCGGCTGAATAAAAAACTGCCTCAGAGTATCTGCTTTAGAATTAAAACACCTGACTTTAAATCTCTGCTCTCCCATTAGCAAGATCTTCATAAGTTATTTATGTATCTGTATACTTGAGTTTCTTTACCACTATGATGGGAACAGACCCTGTACTTTCTGGACTTTCTGCACGGATTAGGAGGAAACACAGCAAAAGGCCACAGTATGGTGTTGGGTTCCAACGAAGGGAGTCAAATTATCTGAATTTACTTAAGCAAGACAGCTCCTGTTAGTGGCTCCAGTTGTATTTATCCCTAGATCCAAATCTATTCTAGTCCAGCTTTAAGTTTGGTACTACAGGGCAATCACTGGGCCAATGAGGATTGATTTCAGGATCCTGTGACTGGCTAAGATTGAACAATGTCCTCAACAACAGAAGTGGTTCTAGGAATCTGTAATATCATCCGTATCTGTTTCCTCTGAGAAGCCTCTGTCAATTTTACATCTCTACTTCTAGTGTCAAGTTTGCTCCCTAAGAAAAAGCTGACCATCTATTTACTGCCAAGTTTGCTCTCCTCCCCACTATAACCTTAAAAGGTAAACATTTAAGCTAGACAGTAGGTGGTATAGAGTTCTGAGTCAGTTGTGGATGTATAATAATCCTACTTTGAACTAGAATCAGGACCTTTTTCTAACCTATAAAATACTTAAAAGTTTTGCACGTGTATGCAATAAGCATTAAATGAATGTTACCTGATAATATTAGCCCAGTACGATTCAATTCTCCTCACCTCAATGCCTTGGCCCCCAACCACATTACCTATTTTCAGAAGACTTAAGTTATTTATAATTTCCTCAAATGTGGTAGAAGTCATTAAAACTTTACAAAAGGAATTATTAATTTCCTTCAATTCACAATGCAAAGTAAAACAACTTTATTCAAAATGTCCATAATTTAAATAGGCATAGTATATAGAAGGAAAGTAAATATAAAGCTCATTTACTTTTCAAGTACCAAAGAAAATTATTAAGTACAGCAGGGGAGAGGCAAAAAGAGAGGTTATAATTGGCATATTACTATGGAAGCACAAAATTTTCTAACAATAAGCAAATAGCATGTTTATGCTCTGTTTACAACATTCTGTCTGCAATCCTCAGTTTCACTGCTAATTACCATGTTCTTTTCCATAACTTCAAATATTCACAACAATTTAACATGCACAAAAGCATAATAACTAGCAAGTGCCTTATACACTGCTCAATCTGTTTAAATGTTTTGAATTTGGTAATTAAAATCTTATTAAAATTTTTCCTTTGAACAAATAAAAATCAATGATCATCCTATGGTCTAATATTATGTACAAATGTCTCATATTATGGATTCTTCTGTTTTCTTATACCTATAGTACAGTTAAAGTCTATGAAATTGGTTTAGTATCCTGAGTTTTATACATCCAGTACAGCTACAAGTAGTTTTTTCAGTTTTTAAAAACCTTTAATTCTAATAGCCAAAGAACAAAAAATACACGTGGAGCTTTTGTTTTAATTTTCAAATAACAGCAATCTATCAATGAGATAGAACAATTACCTCTAGGCAATAAGGAGTCATTATACAATAAGAAAAAACAACACCTGAAAATATCACCCTATGAGATGTTTATGGTTAAAAACACAGACTACATAAGAATACCAAATATAAACAAAACTCTGCTTTGGAACCATCAGCAGCATATTTAGCAGTTTTATCTGTTTTCTGAAATATCAAGTAATTTGATAACTTACAACTATTAAGTATTTTTATAGAAAAGAAAATGCATAGACTTCATTTATATTTGACTTTATTAAGGCAATGAGACGGACTGAGGTATACAACACTCATAAGTGCGCCTGGAAAAGTTAAAAATGATGAAGACTACTATAGGAAAGGGTACTGAAAAGCTGCAAATCAGTATCTCTAACATGTTTGCAAGTTTCTATTGTCCCTTTTCTGGTTTCCCATACTACTTTATTTCAGAAGCATTTTATGAGAACCCTGCTGTAAATTCCATTTCCCATCTGGTTCACATTTAACAATGTATCTCACCATGTCCCTTTTTAGGTTCTAAAACAACTCAAACTTGGAAGTAGTAAGAGGATTCAAATACTAGACAAAAGCCTGGCATATGTATTAAATATAAAATGGGCAGAAGGTGAGAAATGAGGCAGTGATGCTAAGGATGGTTTCCTAATGACAGTTTATACTTTCAACTGATGAGGCAACACTATGTAGGAGGGAACGTAAGAGCAATGCTTCTTACTACATTTCATATAGCGAGTTACTAATTGTTCCACCTTCTCTGTAATTACTACCAGCAAAGTTTTATAATCAATATACACATCAACATGTACAAAAAACATGAAATACCTATATACTGTACAAATACCATATACTACTTAAAGGACCTCAACATCTGTAGCACTGAAAAGTCACATATTTGTTGTATGCAACATATATAGTCGACATAACATATGATCCTCTTTATTGCCCAAAATTCAGGAACAAAAAAACTATTCCAGGTTGAATATTCCTAATCCAAATATCTGCAATGCTCCAAAATTCCAAATTTTTTTCTATATTGTCAGGAAAATAAAACAAATACTCCAAACTGAAACACTCTGAAAGCTGAAACACTTTTTGGTTTCATTTTAGACAAAGAATATTCAACCCACACTAGTTTATATTCTAGCCTATCTAATTATATTTTAGGAAATATACTTTGTTGCAGAAAATTATATATATATATATATATATATATATATATATATATATATTTTTTTTTTTTTTTTTTTGGGCACTGGGGATTGAACATATGACCTCGTACTTGCCAGACAGGTGTTTATGAGCTAAACTCCTGGCCCAAGAATGGTAATATTTTAAACAACTGGTTTTTAATCTATTAAATACTCTTACATCTCACTTTATTTTCAGTATTAATTATATATTTATAGCAACCTTAATTTTGGTAGGTCTTACTAACAGGTCTCTTTCTGGACAATAAACTATAAAAATTTAATGTTTTAAATGAATAATAATTTTTTTCCAATTGTATGGGAATAAACTTTATTGCAATCAGATGAAATAAGTTACTGGATATGAGAAAAATTTCATTCATTAAAAAATGTTTTATTTGGAGGGAAAAGTACTACTAATTAAAATTTGTATAAAGAAATGCTGTTTACTTAACTGCTAAAACTTAACAGCAATGCTATTCACTATTTCTTACCTGCCTCTTTCAACTGCCAAGGCATCAAGTTCATCAAAGAAAATGATGGAAGGAGCCACTGCTCTTGCTTTTCGGAAGATCTAGTAGGAAAAGAACTACATTAGCCAAAAAGGCATAAACTCCAGAAAATTCTTTAGTTGATTTCTATGTGAAAATGTCTTTACAACAGTATTTACTATGTAAAAATCAATCATTCAATCACTTTTTGTGTATCTCAGATTGCTGAAGACTTCATAGTAGATGAAAAAGTGATCTCTGCAGGATTATGGAGACAAAGACTAACAATACAAATTCGCACAGGTATTATATTAGAGGCAGTGCAATTAAGCAATTAGTCTCAGTTAAAAACTTTTCAGCAAGTAATGTTACTTTTCTAAACTTCAATTTCTATATCTATGAAATTTAAATAATATAAATGCTTACTTCAGAAGATATAAGAATTGAATAAAAAAAACATAAAGTATCTGGTACATCTGGAAAACTTACGAGTTCAATGAACAGTATTAACCGAGACAGACACAGATTTGAAGAAAAAACATAAATGTGTCAAATCAGTCATAGATTCACGTATCAAATAACCATGTATCTAAAAGTCACAAATCTTGATTTTTTTAAAAAAAGACTAGATAGGACAATGATAGTGGATATAAAGCCAGGGAACAATAGGCAAATCTTAAGAAGAACACAGGCTGGCTGAGCAGAAGCTAAAGTACCCTAAATCAGAAGCTGGCCATATAGCCATGGGAGTGATACATGTGGAAATAAGCTAGAATAAAGGAAGTATGGGCAACAAGAAATCCAAATGTTTGTTACCTATGCCCCCATTTTACTCTCAAATGTATGAACATAAAAGCAGAAAACTCCAGACATTAATATGGTAAGTACTGCCTTTTTCATGCTGTCATTACAATTAATGTTTTACACAATTATCATCATCTACATTTTGGAGAAGGGAGAGTAATTTCAAATTTTTCTCATTACAAAATCTTCCTGTTTGGTACACATACTTCGCAAGTAAGCACAATCCATTCCACACCTTTGTGTGTATTCTTGTCCTTAAATCACTTTGGGAGCATACAGGGAAGCAGATCAGTTTAGGCTTAGAAAAGTAAAGATGTGATCAAATTGTTGTCTCTAGGTGCCTTGACTCTGTACAAATTTACCAGATGTATAACTTCCTTGATACAAAGGGGTGTCATATCAACCAGGCACAGAATTAAAAGTCTGGTTTAAAATACAGGAGACAGAAAGAAGAGACACTGTCTTATTCACCAGGCAAAGGTAAAATAAGTAAATGTAGCACAGTGAAATTTTCATATACTAAGGTCATTTAATTTAAAGGGAGATCTAGTGTAAAGGATTTTAAATCTGATTCTGAGATCAAATGTGTCCCTTTATAAACACAGATATGTTCTCCTTAGTAAAAATACTTTTTATTTGGTAAATATAAAGGTTATATTATGATGCTTAAAAATAAACACAAATTATTACAAATTATCAAAAACTTAATTTTCAAATAGTAATATTTGCCTGAAGAAAAACATATGCCATTAGAATTCAGATTTGGAAATTTCAAAATATGTTACTCAGAATAAAATAGAAGCTATAGAGAACAGTGCGGTTATCCTATGCAGAGTGTCACTTAAGGTATAATTATCTTACCTCTCTAACTGCTCTTTCAGATTCACCAACGTATTTATTCATTAATTCAGGCCCCTGCATAAAAAGAAAATTACTGTTTAAAGTATTCATAAACGAAACAATTCACAATAAGGAAAAAAAACTGCTACTAAATTGTTCCTTCAGCAGTTTTTGAGCGCTATTTATGCCTTAAAAACAAAAGTCCTGTTCGAAAAATTACACATCAATCAACACAAAGCAAAGGCTGTGGCTAAACATAATAAATTTTTGTTCTTCATCATCTGCCTAACCATTCATACATATTTTTATAATATGTCAGACATAGTGCTTGGCACAGCAGGTTAAAACACCTTAATCTGGATGACAAAGAGGTAAATTGCATAATTTCCAATCTAACCACTGGCTGGTGACGAGTAGGTGGTGATCCACTAGACTAATAGTTCAACAAGACAAGAAGTAAGAACTCAGGCTTCTTCTTATGATTCTTTGATATACCCTGAAAAATGAAGGAAATGGAATGGGAAACATTGTAAGCCGTAAGAATACCTTACAATCTTAGAACGCTTCCAGTGTAAATGTTGACTTATATGACTTGGCCGTGTATACACTGACTATATGATTCTGTAGATACAAATAGACCCTGTTAAACTACTAACCTAGTCAGGACCTACTGAACAATGTCTCAGAACCACACACATCACTAACCCACAAGGTGTCATTCTGAAAAAACCTTCAAATTGTCTAGGTTCTTTTCACAGCTGGTCTGCATTACCCTTCAGATATCTGTAACTCACTATTCCGTCCAGTTGCCAGGATTCTTGCTCCCTTCTTGCGCTTATATATTTTAGGAGTACCAAAGGTGGAAGTCTTAAATCTCTAATAACAAAATTCTATTAATTCTTGCTAATCAGGTTTCACCAAGGGAGTGTTTATAAAGGTAGCTGGTCTCCAACTATATGTGTTTTTTAGACATTTAATTAGATTTTAATATTTTTTTTTCCTTCTCAAATACCTAAGTTATCAGATACTATATGACAAGAGGTACTTCCTTTTTTATTGTATTTGTATCTGTCTTCTCAGAAAGCAGGGCATCGCTCTAAGTCATGGGATATTTAAAAATATTAACACTGTCCTTTGAGCCACAAGTCTTCGCTTCAGAGATGGATGCCAGATGTCTTTCTGAGCTGAAGGAACTTTAAGCATACTGACATTCCTCTAATATCTGGTTATATTCATATCCTTCCTTACACAATGCCAAATTCAATAGACATGCATGTATGTGTGAGTCTGTCTCTGCCTTTCTGTCTCTGTCTCCCCTACCCTCATCTTCTTTCCACACATGCAGGCATGTACATACATACTTCACTCTAGGTTAAGAGTCATATTTTAGTCTATGAAAATCATGGACTCAGACAAACCAGGGGATATACTACACATCTGCTCAAATATTTCCTAAGTAATTTATAGCAATTTTTACAAATTTAACTAATTCAATACATAGGTAAGCACTAGCACAATGTCAACTAATTACACAAATTTAAATGAATGGTGTTTAGCCTCAGTCAAGACATCATATTACAAAGAAAACTGGCATACAATAGCAACTGCTATGATACAGGTATGTTCGGTTGTCATTTAAATATAGAGAAATAAGTCCTTAGAGTCAAGGATGTTCCTACAGAAAGAACATAACATTTCAAGTGAGTCCTCAGTCAATTTATGCCACATCCTTAAAAACAAGAAATACACTGAGGTCCAGGAGAAGTCAAAAAGGTCTCTGATTGGCCAAAACAGATGCCATTAAATGCATTTTAATTGCAGAAGAGTTCATAAGATCTTTTAAAAGTTCATTGACTTTCAAATTATATGCAAAATTAACGCATAAAAATGACAGAAGAATTTAATACAGTTGAAGCACAGGATACTGGGAGACTGCAGAAATCAGTAAGATTACTTAAAAGTGAAAGGAGAGCTGTCAAAAATGAATTCAGATTTTACCTTGAAACAACAGCAAGTGTTTAGGGGAGTGAACAGATTATACATACACTGCTGAAAGATGATTCTGGCCACAATGTAAAAGACAGCTTGGAGAAACCTATACAGGCCAGAGACAGAGACCAGATATGAAATGTTTAAAACAGCGAAGGTAAGAAATGAGGACAGGATAAAAGCACAGTGCAAGGAAAGCGAGAAGAGAACCACAAAACTATGAAAAAGATAAAATCAATTTATTGTAGACAGTAGGATATAAAGATGAGGAAGAATATAATTCAAACAGTATTTTTCATGCTCATGATAATTTAACTCACCAAAAAAGGGGTAGGATTTTCAAAATATTTAGTGTAGCAGTTCTCAAAAATATGTAACTCATTAAAAATATTTCACTTCAGGGTCACAGATTTAGCTCAGTGGCATAAGTGCTTGCCTGACATGCGTGAGGTCAGGGGTTCGATCCCCAATACCAAAAAAAAAAAGAAAAAAACTTTTTTCACTGCAGAAAGAGATCATCACGGCCAACTTGGGGAGACAAAAAGGGAAGGAGCCTCTAAATAAGTGCACAAGGGCAACCAAAGTACCCTAGTTGAGGACTAAATAAAAAGCCTAACAAGAGAGAACAAATAAAAAGAGAAACTTACTGGACCAAAAGCCGGCATTAAAGAAGTTTGTACGGGGAAGCCAGATGATGGTACACAATCACATGCAAGGTCCAGCTGCAAGGCCTTGGGAAAGGATCACGCTGAAAGAGGGGAACTGGCACTATAGTGGCAGCATGGCTGATGGAGTAGGCTCCACAATCACTCTAATCTCTCCACCAGGAAAAGAATCACAGCAAATGAGATGAGCATAAATGAGGGCTTCAGAGAAACTAAAAATGTCAAGAGTTAAAAAATGATATAACCAAATAATGGGCTTAATAAACAAACTCATCAGTGAGCTTAAAGAAGAGTTGGTATAGCAGCACACACTTTGGGAGCAGTGGAACTTTGGGGAAAATACTTGACCAACCCAGAAATAATCAGTTACCCATGACTCCCACATAAATAGAAATACTATGCTAGTGGGAAATTCAATGTTCTGTCCACATTAGCCAGTGGGTACCCATAGAGCAGTCCTCAAGCATAGCAATACTGGAGACTGCACAGAGCAGGGAGTCCCGTAACTATGCCAAGTTCTCAAATTAGAATGACACAATCAGACACTCTATCAGATACTATCAGACTGAAAAAGGATCCTGAGTGGAAGGACAGAGGCTGCTATCAAGATCAAAAGGTTTCTAGTACTGTGACAGGCAAAATGCTTGAGGAGGGAAAACAGACAACCTACTGCATGCAGGATTTGCAATGCAGTGAAGGAAACAGGAATGTGACAGTTACCTGTTCTGTCAACTTGAGTAAGAAACACTCAGCTGATTGGCTTAGTATAGTTCTGGAAGTTACTGAAGTTACTGAAAATGGAAGACCCACCCTGGATGTGAATGGTACCAACCAATAGGCTTGTACCGTGAATGGAATACAAAAGGGAAAGAAAGGCTCACTTCTCTTTCTTTAGAGGAGTTCCAGTCTTCACCTTTGCCTTGGAAATCCATCAACTCTTTAGTGTTTCATTGTAGACCTTTAGGCTTCCTGGTATGGACTCACATAGGACTGTGCAGTGATCCCAATGTCCCTGCCTTTTGACTGGATCCTTCAGATCTCCAGCACACATACAGCCTTTTTGCACTGTTTCACAACTGACTCTGTAAGCAGCCAGACATTGTAAGCCTATGTAAGATATATTTGTATTAAATCTAAATTCTTCAGTGAATATTCACTGACAGGGAACAAGAAGTCCCTGATGGAAGCTGAGGGAGAACCTGATGATGGGTTAAACTGTGCTGCATCCACCTTACCCCAAATTAACTGAGGCATGACATCTTGGACAAAACCTACAGTTAGCCACAGCCAAAGCACTGGTTACAAACAAGAGTTGACCCTAAGAAACAAGTGAATTAGCAAGTCTCTTCCCTTAAAGTTGGCAATTAAATAAACCATGTAGGGTGACAGGGACCACAGTTCCAATCATCTCAGACCTGTGAGTGAACTCTGACACAGGTCCAAGTCTATGTAAAAGCAACTATGAGAAAATCTCAGACTTCAGCTTTTGCAACCGCGACAAGGATTTTTTCTTTTTGACTGTTTTTCTTATCATTGTTTTATTATGTTTTATTATTTCTTTCTTTCCTCCTTTTCTCCTTTATTTCTTATATTCTCTCTTGCTTCTCTTTTCTATTCTCTTTCTTTCTTTATCCTCCTATCATTTGTCTCCTCCTTCATACTTTTAAATTACATAGTACCTGTCAAGGGCATGTCAGGGTAACACCAAAATTGGGCATAAAGGATGTAAACATTAACTACCAAGAGATTAGCAGATTTTGACAATCTCAGATTCTGCCAATCTCTAATTAAACTCCCTCTCTGTTCAATGTGTTACCCATTCCCACAAGTATCCCCTCAACATGACCAGTTTTCTACAACTATAAGAATAACCCGAATAGACTCTGTCTGCTTTTTATTTTTTCAACCTATTGATTTCTTCCTTCTCTACCTCTCTACTCATGGACTTATCACCCCTTTCCTTTCTTTCTCCTTCATTTTCCTTATCATTTCCCCAACATCTGCATCAAACTGCTGACAGCAGTTATAATTCGGGCTACATGCAATATGATAAAGGATGAAACCATTACACATTTTAATATACATGACTAATACATGGTTGGATCTGTTTTCATTACAACCTGTAGGAATTTTCCCTGACAAAAGTGTCTGGTTCCAATATTATTAAATTAAGTAGGAAATGAGGAAGTGATCAATACGAAGACACAAAGAAATCCAAGATCATCAATGAAAAGCAGATACTAGGGAAAAGGATCTCCATACTACCCATATAATCTCTAAAGTGCACATACGAATACATACATACATACATACATACAGAGAGAAGAGAGAGACAGAATAGACGCATGAGAAAACAAGAGAATAAAATACCTCTAAAGGCAATCCACTCAAAAAAAAAAAAACCAGATCCAAAGGGCATCC